AAAATCCAAATAATACACACTCCTGGTATATCCAATTCAAGTTCCCTATCCTTGAAAGGTTCCCTAGCTGGTTCCGTCATTGGTTTCTAGTATGGGGATCTTTGACCCAAATAATGCCAGAATCCTTCCAAGCCTTACAAACTAAAATTGTTGAATATAATACTTGCACCGAATCCGATGATTACCATCTTTATTTCATGGCCATTTACCAAATTCCCTGGATTCTCAAATGGGAATATTCCATCTCTGAAAATAATACTCATGACTATACTTATATTCCCCAACTTGGCAAAACCGTAAAGGTTAAATGGTGGGATATTTTCAGTACTAATCCTGCTACTTTACCTTTGAAAAGAATACCTCCACAACCTGCAACCTTCAACTCTGCTACATATAATACGGTCAGTCTCCCTACTTTCTCAGCCTATCTCAAAAGGTTGAAACAATCAAACCCCAATGCTACTTTTGAGGAAATAGAGCAAACATTGCTCCATGTTTTCACCCCCAATACAGCCATGCCAACATCATCAGAAGAAACAGTCCAGTCAGGAAATCCCCTGTTGGATGATTTCAGCCAAAGGCCCACAGAATGACCCGACCCGATGGTCCATTCTCCCTTCGACAGCGACAAGACCACTACAGCATAAAATATTCCCTTTTCACAAAAGACAAAACAAAAGACGCGTCCCTCTACAGGAAAGATTCCTTTTCATAAACGACAAAAGCCACGTTGCACAAAGGACAACCTTACCTCTTCGCTAGAAGCTCTGCACCGACATGAAGTCACATCAACCAAATATCAATGGTCCGATTCCCTTCTTCTCCCACACATACGGAATACTCCTACCATCGATCGCATGCACCACTACTATACAAGATTCCTCTTCAACCACCAGCATATCAGGGATCGCCACGTCCCCTCTTCGTACCATTCCCTCATCTGGAAGAAGCCTTCTCCAGCAAGCAATCAATCCTGAGCCACAACCTCCTTCCACCAATTACATCCTTTCCTTCATCAGCAAGCAATCGATTCCAGCCACTCATTGGAGACCAAGTCCTCTATAAATACCTCTTCCCACCAAGAAGAAATCAGAGCATCAAGGATAATCCTCCAGCAATTCAGCAGACGTTCTCGCAGCAGTCTCGCAGCAGCAGCAGCATAGTTTCTAGATCTTCTCATACTTTCTCTCTCATAAGATCTCTTCTCTTCCTCTTATCTTCTTCTCTTTTCACTCTGTATTTAGGGCATAGGTCATCGACATCAGTACTTCATAAAAGTCGGTAACCTCCATAACTTTTTATGTGTGATTGTAATCAGTCTTCTTTACCTTCCTTCTTGCCTTCCGAGTGGAGGAAATTCGCAAGCCTGTGTATTTGTAATCAGTGAGTAATCAGCTAGTAATGCAGTTTAAACTTGTTTTTACTTTTAAAATCTTTGATTATACCCATACCTCGTGGATTGTCTTTGACATTTCAATATTACCAATTATTGTTATGCTATTTGTATTTCTTTATTACATTTCTGTACTTCAGCAATTAATAGTCTATAATTCCGCAATCATTTCTTACTTATTATTAATTTACATATAAATTTACAGTTTATTACTTAGGGTAGATTCTTGGGCTAAAATGGTATCAGAGCCAACCCTGTGTTAGAGATCTCATAGTATTACCAGTTTTGTTATCCTAAGAAACTTAAGAAATTTATCCATTAGAGAAAGTTGGTCCGAGTGTTAAGACACGAGACGAAAAAGTCTTATGCAAAGTACCGCCAAGGCCGAGGAAGAGCCGATAGGGAAAACGCTGGACTTTTGGTCGTCCTGAGTTGTCATTATCCGCAACCTAATAATGGAAAAATTTATTAAGAATCTAACAGATACCACAACTAGTAAAACTAATAGAACTCTAAGGATCAAGAACAAAGAAGAACTTGTTATAAATGATATTGAAAATCAAATCCAAAATTGGAACATACCCAAGGTTCCTATATCTGATATTTACAAAAAAGGTACATTCGACCTCAAAGTCGGATATGCCATAAAAACAGTAGAAGAAACTCTCTCTGTTACTAGTAATCAAGAAGATTTTCAATTATTATCTAAAAAAATATTACAAGTTCATCAAAATAAGAATTATAAATATCTACATATAGGTTTAATACAAGTAGCAGTTAAACCTCTAACTAGGTCAGGATTAAATAATTCTATTTTAGTTTGTTTAAGAGATACTAGACATAATAAATTCTCAGATTCGTTACTAGGAATGGTTGAAACTAGTTTATGTA